AGTCAGTTTGGGATGTGGGAAGGTGTGGTCGGCTACGACAGGACATTCCTGATCATGATCATCACGGGAGCTCTCCGTGACAACTTCAGTGTGCTCCACATTGTCCTTGTAGCCTTCTTCTTCTTCCTCCTCCTCTTCTAGTATGGTAGCAGGAGGGTGATCTGGAGCAGGTTGTGCACAAGATCGCTCAAGATCATCGACGCTCTTCTTAAGGCTCAGGAGGATCTCCTCTGTCTCACGATAGGCCTGGATGCAATGATCCATCCTGGAGCATGATCTCTCACTGTCTCGAGCAAACTGCTCCATGAGAAGCCTCAATTCATAGTTTGGATCTGGATGTGGAGTGTAGCATGGCTCTGCAGAATGGCCAGTGAAGGCCGCCATGGGTAACTCCAGCTCCAATGGCCCTTCTGGTTGTGGGAGAAATTCTTCTTGGTAATGAGGTTGTTCTTGATATGCCCAAGGGTCTGATTGTTCTCCGTAGTAAGGGGGTTGGTACTGGGACCCGAATCCATAGTCTTCTCCTCCTTGATTGCTCCAGGGAGTCTCGGGGTAATACCACTCGGATGGTGGTGGATACCCCCAATGATTGGAGAAGCCATGAGGATCCATGATTCAGATCTGCACCAACAAAAACAAAAACACCCAAGTGAAAAGCAAGGGTGGAAAAGAAAAGAAAAACGCTAAAGTAACAAACTTCTGCATTTCCTAATAATCTAGAAAGTCCCCGGCAACGGCGCCAAAAACTTGACTCGCTATGACACAACTCCTGACAAAGGCCAAGTGTAACCAATGGAAGGGACTGCAGTATAGTGGCTTAAGTGATAAATATCGAATCCACAGGTCTCTAGAGTTACTATTACTCAGCTTCAGTTCATTATCTAGCAAACCAGATTAAGATGAAAGAACTAAAACTACTCTAGCAAACTACAGTTAAAGTTAATCTAATTACAGTTTGGGAACTCACTTAGGTATGATTCCCCCTAGCCACTAGCCAGATTAATGATTGATGATCTCTTACCTGTTTCACTTTCATTCACAATGCGGAGAATCCTTGACTAGACCTTGAGTCTCGACTAAAGGAACAAGGCCCTCTTGAGTCAATTTCCTAGAGGGACGTATCCTTCTCTAGAACAACCGATCAAGGCATTCTGAACTAGACTCCCTCTATCGAAAGAGGTTCTCAATCGATACAAAGCAGTGAATCAACCCTCGACTAAAGCAATCGATCCAATACTATCAATCTATGGTGCTCTATTGACCTAATCAGGTATTCGCTCTCATAGGATCAAAGCAGAATCAATAATCTCGACTAAAGCAGAATTGAATCATGAAAACATGCATAGATTGAATATGAACTCAAGATTATCAAGTCAGAGTACTCATACAATCATCCAATCAAACAAACATAGCTAGGGTTCCTCAAAACCTAAGTGAAGGGAAGTTACTCCATAGAGAAGAGAGAGACTACAGTAAGAATCTTCAGATGATCAGTCTTCAAGTCCGGGCTTGTTCCTCGAGCTTCCAAGTCGAAGAAATCCCCCAATTCCACTCTTAGAATGCCCTCAAATCGCCCTCTCTCTCTTTGGTTCGTCCCTTGGGTGTTTGGGATCCAAAAACCCAGCTCTCCCTTGCAAAAACGCACAAAACAGGCTTTTAACAGCCTGCGTTCGCGATCCCCGGTCAGAATACCCGGTCGGGTATTTAGGTAACCGGTCGGGTATCAACAAAATGCTCCGGGTCACTCTTCTGGCCAAAAGGGAAAATACCCGGTCGGGTATTTTTAGTACCGGCCCTGTATTTTTGGTTCACGACCGGGGGGCCTTCTGTTGCTGCCAAAAATCCCCTATCAGATGGCCAAAAATACCCGGTAGGGTATTATGGTCGGGTATTTTGCAGTTCTGGGTCCCCTATCTTTGATTCTTCGTTTCTCCCTCGTTCGGACTCCAAATCAGGTGTCGTTTGATCTCATACGCTCGTAGTCTCGTCCTATTTCCTCTCATGACAAGATTACGTGATTATATGGTCACAAACAGAGGTAGAAATCCATTCTTCTTCAAGTCATACCCGAGTTTCTTCCCCCGAGTCGCCAATTGATCTCCGATTGACTTGAAACTTGTGCCTACGCTTCACTTTATGTGCTAGGACCTGAAATGTGACAAAAGAACACAACCTAGCGTAAAATAGGCCAAAGAAGCGATAATGCAAGCTTAAACGATCAAGAAACAAAGGGGAAAACATGTGCAAATATCGAGTCATCATGGGACGAGTTTCAAGCTGTGGGTACTAAAATGTCATGATGCAATTGTGGGAGTTGTGATGTGACCAAAAAAGTCTGAGAAAAGCAAGAGAATGGAAGGTTTTTCTAATTTTTTGCTCGGACTGGAGGACACTTTATCGGTCATTCATTCTCAGATTCTGAGCCTTAAGCCTGTCAAGAACCAGTTGATCCCAATAACTCGAGTTGTTGGGAGAGGTTTAATATATCACACACTAACACGCCCCCTCAAACGAAAGTCACTCACAAGGATTTGAAGTTTGCACAGGTCCACATACCATGTGCTTAACAAATGGGGGTTACAAGGATTCGAACACAAGATCTCTCGATCATATAAGGCTTTGATACATTGTCAAGAACCAGTTGATCCCAATAATTCGAGTTGTTGAGAGAGTTTTAATCGTGGATCATATATCACACACTAACAAAGACAACCCCGACACTAGTTGAGGCATACCAATTAGTTGTCACTTAGGAGCAGCAGCGCCAGATTACCGCTGGGAGGCGCTTCTCCATAGATGCGGTAGGAAAATCCTGCTGCCGTCACTATAATAAATATGGGTACAACAAGGAGAACTATTTCAAGAAGATCGGCCACTCCTCGACACAAGGAAAAGGGCACCGAAATGAGAAGTCAACATGGAATCGAAGGCACCAAGGAGATGACTTGCCGCGGACTGCGAATGTTGACGTCAGGGAATGTCCTCTTACTGAACTCACCCTTGCTCAATTTAATCAGCTCAAGTAGTTCTTCACGCCTTGACCATCGCAGTCTCTAGACCCTACAATTTACATGGCCGACAATTCCATTTATCTTTACCAAACGTTAATTGATTCAAGTGGCAACAAATATAGAGGAAATTTACAATGCTATATAGCATTGGTGGTATATGTAACACCCCGACTTTTAGGTTCAGGTTAGATCGTAATACGTGAACGGTTGAATCAACGACAGTTACGTACAAAGGATTACAATAGTGAATTAGGCATAATAATAATAATAATAATAATTATTATTATTATTTATAGAAGGGGGTTATACACCCCGTTACTTCCCCCACCCGTTACTATTCCATTTAACCCCAAACACTACAAAATACAACACATACAGCAGGGGTTTTATTTACTTTTAGCAACGGAAAAAACCGTCGCTAACTAGCCCGACAGCGGTTTTCGTAACCGTTGCAAAAACAACTGCCGCAAATGTATACCAGCGGTCTGCGCAACCGCTGTTGAATGTCCTTGCAGCGGTTTAGCAACGGTTTTTATGGTCGCAATAGGTCTTTTTTTGTACGGTGGAATCAGTTCTTTTGCTGCGATTATAAGTACATTAGCGCCGGATTTTAACAGCTGCTATTTTGACAAATATTTCGCAGCACTTACAACCCTTTCAGACGTTTTTTAGTGACCATTTTTAGAGACCATTTTTTTGGTGACGAATACCTCTGCATATACAGCCTGCTAAAGTTTTCAAATTTTCTATATAATTCTAGAACCCCTGCAACCTGCTGCAACATTTCAAAATTTTCATACATATAAAAGTATCTTGACAGTCTATATCCATGCCACAAATTTGCAAACTTCCAAAGTACATAATACTTCCAGCTTATATCAAAGAAATGTAACAATAGAAATTCTTATCCTGTATAAACTTGAACAACAGCTAATATCAAAGAAATGCAAACTTGATGACAGAAAATGTTCCAGCCAAATCCATGATATTGAACTCGGCTTTCTTTTGAATCTCCAACATTATTATGCAGTGCACGGTTCTGAAACTCATCTTATCCTGTTAAGAAGCCAACCAAAACAAATAGAAGCCATAAGCAAGTGTGATCAAACAAACAGCCATCATAGGCAAGTGTGATCAAACAAACAGATCAAATAAACAGCCATCATAGGCAAGTGTGATCAAACAAACAACCATCAGAAGTAGTTCTTGAATGAAAAGACCGGGCATCTATCCCAAACGAATTGCTTGGCTTTATGATTCAAAAGAAACCAAAGTAAACTAGGGGCAGACATCATAATCAAGGAAAATGAACTATCCCAAACAGATTGCTTGGCTTTATGATTCGAAAGAAACCAAAGCAAACTAGGGGCAGACATCATAAGCAAGGAAAATGTGCGTCTTTTTCTTACTTACCTTTCGTTAGCCCCGTGTAGCACTCTGACTTGATGAAGATGGTGCTCGAAATGAACCCTCCATTGACCCCTTCTCCCTAAGAAGATGTTGCAAGAACAATGTCTTCAATGTATCTACTTCTATTTGCAACTGTTCCATCCCCCTTCCCAGCCGACCAGCCTCACTTTTAAGTTCAACCACCTCAGTTTTTAGTTCGACCACCTCAGTTTTCAGTTCCACACACCCAATGCACAATATACTACTAGGAAAAGTGGGAAAGAGGCTTCGATCTTTTTCGGTTTGCTATTTTCTATTTCTCCAATTCCAACTTTGGAACAGAGGGGTGAGCTGAACAGCAACTGTAACCCCACTCTGCCACTCACACTCCCCTGACTCCAAGTGCATCGAGAAGCAAATGATTAAACTAGACATATATCTTCTGCTCACTAGCAGCAACAACCATGAAAGTTCTTTATTTCATAATAAACATAGGGATAAAAATACCACAATCTGTAAATGTCACTATTAAGTTTGTAATGAAAATCAAACAACTCCAAAAAAGTAAAATACATACTTGTATAGCCTTCCACCTAGCAAAGCTCATCCTTCCACATGTATGTGGAGTCTTCATGTTGCTAGCATTTTCAGCGTTTTGCTTACTTAGTCTCTACAAATGTTGCAATCATAAGTTTAAGAAGTTAAATTAAACAAATATGATGATAAAAAATGGAATAAAGTAAATTTGGTCATACCGGAAATTCTTCAGTATACCAACGATTAACCAAAGTCTGCCAATGAGTATCAATAACGTCTGTAGGCTTCGGTTTTGCAAGAACTTCTTCAACGGACAGTTCGGGATCATAATATAAGTTTTTCAGTTTTGTCTTGTGGCTGCTAGTTCCTGAAGGCCATTTAGGAAGAATCCATTCTTCTTCTTTCCATTATTATGAAATATCCTGCATATCACCCATCCCTCTTGCAACAATATACTCATTATAAGAGGATTTACTACAACCATTAGAGGAAACAAGCACAATTATTACTACATGATCATATACACAAATGGACTATGGAAGCAAGTGGGATAAGGGCAGGTGATCTAACTTTCTAGCTGTGGTATATGGGCAGGGAGAAAGAGAGAGGCAGGGGAAGGGAGTGGCTAGCAAGAAAGCAAGCAGCCAGTACAACCATTTGACACCAAAACCAGTTTATCTACTAGAAGAACCATTTTCTGAATAGTAAGAAACTCAACTTCCGAGAACAAGATTCTCTCACAAATCACATCTCCTCGCCCAAAGATCATCATATACAAAAAAGAAAGAGATAAAGGGAGTCCCCTGTGCCAAAAAAGGGTTAATACCTTATTTTGGCCCGAACTATGACCATATAATCAACTTTGGCCCGTGGTTTCAGAAATTAACATCATGACCTCAACTATGCAGCATATAGACTCAATTGGCCCGACACATAGTTTGACCGTCAATTTGGACGGTCAACGGAGTTGACCGTTAGTCAACACGCCATGTCATTGCCTAGTCAGCCTAAAAATCATTAAAAAAATGCAAATTTCAAATTATTTTTCTAATTTTTCTTATTTATTATTAAATTAACCAAAAATAAATTATAAAAAACATAAAATAAATTTGATTTTTTATTTTTTGGATAATTTGAAAAATGATAAATTTTATAAATTAACCAAAAATTATCAAATTATTTTATATTTTTAAAAATTCCCACCAAAATATAATTTATATCATATTTTTTAAATTTATAAAATTTAATTTGATCATTTTTGGTTAATTTATAAAATTTATCATTTTCAAATATCACAAAAAAATTATTTTATATTTTTAGAATTTTATTTTTTGGTTAATTGGAAAATGATAAATAATAGAAATTAGGAAAATAATTTGAATTTAAATTTTTTTTAATGATTTTAGGCTGACTAGGCAATGACATGGCATGCTGACTAACGGTCAATGGAGTTGACCGTCCAAATTGACGGTCAAACTATGTGTCAGGCCAATTGAGTCTATACGCTGCATAGTTGAGGCCAGGATGTTAATTTCTGAAACCACGGACCAAAGTTGATTATATGGTCATAGTTCGGGCCAAAAAATGGTATTAACCCGCCAAAAAACTCTTAATCATTCATCATGCTAGATGTTTACACACTCCAAACTACCAAATATAAGATAATTTACACTAACTCGAAGACTTGCAGGTCCTCCTCGGATGGTTTACATCAAACTGTCTAATCTTATATTATGCTACTCAAGTCAACTTGCTAAATGAAGCTCGCTAAGCAAGAACCATTTTCACATATCAAGAAGCAACTGCCAAATAAAAGGAATAAAAATACTTACCCCATTGGCATAGACAACTGCACAAAGCTTCATATATTGAGATGAAAAGGGGATTTTCCTACATGACAAAAAGATAAAGAAACTAACAGTATTAAATAACTCAATTCCATTTTTGAATTAGGTGTTAAGGCATACTAGACAGTATAGTTTTATTTGTTAAGTACCTCACCATTCATCACCCAAATCCCATCAATTATATTCCCAACTGACCATTCTTAATCAGTTTGATAAACGTCGCTCTTTTTCCCATGATGAATCTCTCTAAGATTCCCCTGTAGAAGACATTTCTAAGACTTTTCCCACTGCACATCCTACAAGTTAAACAACAAATCAACCCTACTACTAAATATTTGAGGAGTTGTCACTAATATTCAGTCATCACAAGTAGCAAATATACACGCTAAGTACAAGAGTGGTCCATAATGCCCTTTGTTTCTTGAGATAAAAACTCAAAAGAACCAGTTTTGTATTACCTGAAAGCAGACCAAAGCTCTTTGTTCTCAGGATCTAAATGAACTGCAACAACAAATATACTTTAAGCAAGTTCCCGACTATGCCAACCCTATAACATGCTTTATCTTTGAAAGCATTGCTTTAAACCAGCAACATTCAATGATTCTTGAAGAATTTTCCTTCTATATAAGGTTGCCTGTAATTATTTAATAGAAGAAACATGATCTAGGAGCACCAATAGTTAAGAAAGCAATAATACCTTTCCCTGGATGCAAGTCTAAACACACAAAAGAAGAAAGAGGCAATTCTCCATACATGCTACTATACAAGTTTATACCAACAAATCAGTATCACTATCCAGCTAAATCCAAAACCATGAGCATGTTATAGGTTGATAAAATAAAGTCAAAAGATCACAGGTAATGAGTATTCTCTATACTAGAAATTACACTGCGAGAACACTATCTTAAAAATAACTTAGTAACTAGCTTCTGCACAACAAAATCATCACCATCCTCCACTGGTGAACAGTACCCGAACTACAATATGATTCTACAATATGATTCTACAATGATGACCGAGGGAACCCTTACCTAGTTTTGCACCAACCAAATGATTAATAACACTATAGCATTGACGTGGCACTCACATAAGTTACAAAGAATTCAAAATGCACGGTTCAACTATACATCAATTCAAACTTAAGAACTTTTGGAATCAAACCAAGGGATCAATTAGTTCATAAATAAGTCAAAACCCAAACTATGAAGATAGAGTTCGATTGTATCGGATGGAAAGAAGAACAACAGAGGCTTCCATGCAGAATAGCGATTGAACATATCTACTTTTAGTGAGACCAGAGAATGAACAACAAAGAAATTGCAGTGGAAGGAAGTAAAGGAACCAATCAATAACATAAATTGATTGTTGGGGATACTTGTACCTCTACTCGCTGCCTTCTCCCAGGCACAACATGGTCACTCGAACTCCATTTCCAAGCATGGCTATGCAATATATTTGAAATAGAAAATTGGAAAGGAACATTAATTAGCTTCATTGACTATTATCCATGAGAACCAGTGGAAGAAGATAATACCTAAAGTTGAGAGCTGCAGAAAATATCGGCCTATGTGTCAAGAAAATCCCCTACGTAGTTATCCTCGCCCAGAGGATGGATAGCCTGAGAAAGCGAGACTGGCGAGGGTTGAAGGACAGTCGAGGCGCACGACATGTAAATTGAGATCGAAAAGCAGGACAAAGTAGTTGATTCGAATGTTAGAGGAAAGCTCGTATGAATTGAAGCGATGGCGAAAATTGCCCCATGATCAGATGTGGCGCCACTTCTGATGATTGTAGAGGTGTCGAAGGGATCGCCGTAGTCGGTGGAGAAATCAAAGAACGCGGGGAAGAATTGAGGCTTCATTGTTAGGGTTAGGGATTTGTTTTTCGGAGAACAGAGTAGAGAGAAGGAACCGAGTATTCTCGCCCTTTTAGAGAAAGAGGCTAGCAGAATATTTTGGCGTTATTTGGAATGTTACTTTTATCTTTTTTTTTTTGGGAAAGAATGTTATTTTATTCTAATCCAAAATCAACAGGGGTTTTTTGAACCGCTGGATAGAATTGCTGCTATATGAATATCTCATCAGTGCGGCAAGGATTAGGCGAACCCCTGTTAATGAATCGCTGCCATATGTGTTTTTCCTTGTAGTGAAATTACACCCCGTACTCATAATTAAGCCTAAACCTAAAAGCCCCCTGGTAGCCGAAACCCATTAGCAGTGCCGCCTCCTCATCATCAATTTCTCAACCTCGCAACCGATGGTAACCAAAGAAAAGAGGAAAGGATAGATGGGGAATAGAGAGTGACAGGCGGCAACATGGGATAGCGGATCGAGGGAATAGAAGTAGAAAGCATGGGGATTATTGTTTCACGGAATAAATTGGACCGCCATTATCTCCCCGCCTCAACGACCTCCAGCCCCAGCGATGATCACTACCCTAGCATGTGTCCACCATTGCTCTATTTCCTTCGCGCTATCACCGGCACGGCCAGCAGTAGGGACGAAGTTAACGCAACTGGTTGATTGGAATTGTAAAGTGAGAGGCGCCAAATGGAGGTCAACGCAAAGGCAGCAGGGGTACGTATATAAGCTGAAATGGTTATTATTAGTGCATGTCATTAACATGTGGGTATGGGCTAGTACTAGTCACACGCGTGATGAAAAGAAGTAGATGTAGTGAATTGTTCTAAGTAGATATAGCCAACGGGGGTTCTCATATTAGCTAATCAATGAGTGGTTTTGGACAATCCTTGTGCGAGGAACAAATGGAGTTGGAAGAAGAGGACTCATAGGCTATGGTGTTTGGCAGTGGAACCTAAAAGGCGAATCGAGATGTGAGGCCACACCATCTGATATAGGATCGCGCGTAATTGGAGTTAGTGACTTTATTAATAAGGTGAGTGTAAAGGGCGTAAATTCTACGCCTTACGTATTCTTTTAAGTATTACGATTTTAAGTATTTTAGCAAAGTGGTTACCGTTGCTTGAGTATGTTTGTGGTTGATTATATGTGCTTTGTTTGAGCTATGATTTGAAGTGAATGCGTGTTATTTAATTTCCTTAAAGCTTTACGTTATGAGTGATTGTTAAAGTTTAAGAAATAAGTTCTTCTTAAGAAGTTAACTCACCTTCAAGAAGGTGAAGTCATTTTAAGTGTTTTTAATCACTAGCGCCAGTCCGTTGCCATTTGAGATTTTGAGATAGAGCAGCAGTTATGCTCTTGAGACTTTTAAGATGAGCAACAGTTATGCTCTTGAGATATTTTAAGATGAGCAGCAGTTATGCTCTTGAGAATCGTGGTGAAGAGCCACCACGATAAGTTTAAGTTTAAGTTTAAGGAAAGCCTGGAGGGCTTCTCATACGTATGAGTTGGCAACCGGACTAGCTAGCGAGGGATCCCCGTGTCAGTCAAGTATTTAAGTCAAGATTTGAGCTTTAAGAATGCAGAGTAACAATAACTCCCATACAGTTTTAAGAGTTAAGCTTTTTAATAGTGGAAGTACGAAACAACTTCCACTC